GTTAAAACACATAGTGCCAAGAAGGTGAGCAAACATATTAAGAACAGTATGCCATATATGCCAGGTCCCTTGAAACAGCGAGGATGGACCGGCTCCCAGCATTTAACAGATTTTCTTTTTTATGTACTTGTTTATTTGTTTAATTTTTAAATGTATTTTTATTGATTTTAAAGAGAGAGGAACGGAGAGTGAGAGAGAAACATTGATCAGGTTGCCTTCTGCATGCACCCCCATCAGGGACCAAATGTATAACCTGGGCATGTGCCCTGACCGGGAATCAAACCAGTGACCTTTTGGTGCACATGACAATGGTCAACCAACCAAGCCGCACTGTCCAGGGCATGTACTTGTTTATTTTTATTGAATTGATTGGGTGACATTGGTTAATAAAATTATATAGGTTTCAGGTGTGCAATTCTAACATTTTTATAACCCTAAACATTATGTACAGATAATGTTAGCTCAAGACAAAATCAGTAAGACAAAATAAGAAATGCAGGACATTCAGATGAACTAGTTTCTTCACAAAAAAATAAATCCAGGCCTTAAAAAAATAAAATGTATATTTGTATTATCTATATAATAAAGAACCAGGGTTGTAACAACCACTGGGACTTCGACCAGGCGGGAAGTCAGTGCTGGGTTGCCTGGTGACCCAGCACTGACTGTGGCCACTGCAGGCACCCCGACCCAGCACTGACTGCCTAGGGGGCTGCAGATCAGGCCCAGAGAGAGGCCTGCAGAGAGAGGCAGGGGCTGATCTGTAGCCTCTGTGGCAGCTGTTGATCAGAACTTGCCTCTTTTTCTCTCCCAGCCTGGCCAGCAGCCCTGTCTCCATTTCTCTCCAGGCCTCCACCAGGGCTGCTGATCAGCCCAGCCTTTCTGATCAGGCCCCATTGATAGGCCTAGAGATGCTGACTGGCATAGAAACTGACCAATCAGAACAAAATCTGAGTGAATGTAAGGAGCCAAAAAGCTGCCTAGGAGGTGGAGCTTTTGATGCTGACTGGCATAGAAACTGACCAATCAGAACCAAATTGGCTGGCAGGGGAGGGCAGTTAGGGGCGATCAGGCAGGCAGAGGCAGTTAGGGGCGATCAGGCAGGCAGGCAGGCAGAGGGTTTAGGGGCGATCAGGCAGGCGGGCAAGCAGGTGAATTGTTAGGAGACAGTGGTCCCAGATTATGAGAGGGGTGTCTGACTGCCAGTTTAGGCTGATCCCACCAGCGGTTTGATACCCCCCCAAGGGGTCCTGATTGGAATGGGTGCAGGCTGGGCTGAGGGACCCCCCCCCCGCATGAATTTCGTGCACTGGGCCTCTAGTATTTAATATAAAGCAGAGAAAACACAGATATAACTATTATCTGTGCCTTGTAACCCAGATTTTAAAACTAATCTCATTTGTCCAAAGATTCACCTTAATTATTGAACCTGGCTCCTTAAAAGTTTTCTGAGCTAACAACTTCTTGTATGGGGGACTTACAAAAAAAACAAAACCTGAGCACATCTAAAGCGTAGAAATTTGGTTTCTTTATTTCCTCTGAGTTCGGGAAACGTTAGATTTATGTAGGCACTTAGTTGTCTCTACAAACCAATTAACACAGAACCCCCGGACTCTAAGCTGTTAATACCTGCAGAGGTAGGAAGTTATTTCACACCCACAGTAAGCGTTAATGCCTCTCTGATTACAGACATGTAGACACAAAAACATAGAGGGAGTCTGAATATTTTTACGACTCCAGCCACAGGTCAAAAGTCAGCACAGAGACAGAGAAACCCACCAGGCCAGGTCTGAAAAAGCGGCCCTCCCTCCCAGTGGGAACACACCTAACTAACGGGCGGTCACTCGTAGAAAAGCAAACGCTACCACCACCCACAGAAGATGAGCAAATCCGACTTCCTGTTGTCTTCCCCACCATCACTGCCACCAAATAAAAAATGCAAATTCCGCAAAAAGAAAACTAGAGACACAGAGTCAGCGAACTTAAAGCTCTATCACACTCAGGACTCCCTCCACGTGCCCCAAGTGCCTGCTCACTGCCCCAGCAAAGCAGCGTCCTTGGTTCCGACAGCCGAGTCCATTGGGCACCTCCATGGAACCTCCAACACTGTCCAAACGTAACTTCCAGGAAGGTACGCTCATGCCCCTTAGGCAAAAACCAAGATGAATCATCAAAGATTTATTTAACTCACCAATTGAGGGAGGTTATGAATGGTTGAAAGAGCATTTAAAAAGCTAGGTAATTTAACAAAGAAATGTTAGAAATGCTGAGTTGGAGTTTTAAAAGCTGGTTAATGTCCAATAGGCCGTAAATCTTTGGGGTCATCTGTTCCATTGGACAGAAATGACTTACATCTCTCTCGGACAAAACCTACAAGTTAACCCGTGACTTTCTCTAGTCTGGGCCCTTTCATCAGCTCCATGAGACGAATCCTGTACCTTCCTCTAGGCCAGCGATGGCGAACCTTTTGAGCACGGCGTGTCAGCATTTTGAAAAACCCTAACTTAACTCTGGTGCCGTGTCACATATAGAAATTTTTTGATATTTGCTACCATAGTAAAACAAAGACTTATATTTTTGATATTTATTTTATATATTTAAATGCCATTTAACAAAGAAAAATCAACCAAAAAAATGAGTTCGCGTGTCTCCTTTGACACGCGTGCCATAGGTTCGCCATCACTGCTCTAGAAGATGCTCGGGGGCTTTTGCCCCCAAGGAACATGCTGTCCACCCTGGGGACTTACTTTCAAGCTCCAGATTAAGTTTTGGACTCCCATAAACACAATCTGGAGCGGATTCCCTACTGTTCTTTATCAGGGTCCTTAAGGGAAGAGACTCAGGACAGACCAATGTTGACGTAGGAGGGAGGATGGGGAAGGTGTGGAGAAGTTCAAGGCTCTGCTGAGACTGCCTCGGACAGGGTCCGGGTCCGGGAGCCTCAGGGCAGGCTCTGGCTCAGGCTCAGCAGGCCGTGGGACCCCAAAACTGGGGAGAGGGAAGGTGGGGGCGGCTGAAGACAGACGCCTCTATGTTTTGAGGGTGGCCCAGTGGGACCACCCCCTCCTTGCAGGTGGCCAATCTACCCCCTCCTTGCAGGTGGCCAAGTTCAGCTTCCTGGGCAGCGAGGAGGAGCCGGAGATGATCTTTGACTGGGTGGATGTGGAGCGGAAGGGACACCTCTCCCTGGAAGAATTCAGCTCTGGGCTGAGTATGTCCGTCCCGGGAGGAGGCGCTGTGGGGGCTGGCCGAACGGGCGGGCGTCCCTGTAGTGAGCCCAGCACGGGGCCAGGCTGGGCTGCCGGACAGGCAATAGTGACAACTTAGCAACCAGGGGACCCTCACAGCGCCCCCAAGGGAGCCCAGGGTGTGGAAGACAATCCTGGGGACTGTGGAGACAAGGACGCTCAGCCTGGTGGGAAGGCAGGTGGTTTGAGCCTTAAGATTCTAGCCCAGGAGATGGGGTCGCTTTGTCTCCCACCAGCCAGAGCTGTTCTCAGCTTGGGGTCCCCTCAGCACCCCTCTTCTCTAGAGAGGCTGCCAGGCTTGCTTTCTGATGTCTCCCTGTCTTCTCCCCAACAAAAGGCTTCCCCACCCCCTATTCTTGAGACCACAGCCTTCTTTCCCTCTGAGATGTCTCCCTGTCTTCTCCCCAACAAAAGGCTTCCCCACCCCCTATTCTTGAGACCACAGCCTTCTTTCCCTCTGAGGAAGTTCACAGCCCGGCTTTGGAGGGAATTTAGGTCCCGGGGGGCAGCAAAGGGTGATAGTTAGGGGGTGGGGCTTCCCAGGCCTTTAGTCCTCACCGAGCAGGGCTACTTCCACCCCCGCTTCTCCAGACAGGCCCCAAAGGACCCAGAGAGACCAAGACCAGAGGGAACGATACTCCCCCTTCTCCGGGGGTGAGACCGGCCCAGGGAGTGGGAGGTGTGGTGTCCTTCGAGACCCTGCAGAGCCCAGCTGGCCTTACATTAATGCAGAGCCATCTAGGGTTCTCGGTTTGCTAGTCTCCAAAAGTTTGGCGAGCAACAGAGAGGGAGGCCAGGAATCTGCATGTATAGGTTGGGGCTGCCCAGGAGGTGGGTGCTCTGGCTCTGGTGATTGGGAAGCCGGGAGTAGGGAGGGGAGATTGGTGTCTGGAATTGGGGGTGGGGGCAGAGGGAACATTGTTGTCCATGCACCCCCAAGGTCCTTCTTCCTATCAGTATCCAGTCCTGCCCAGCACCCCAGGGACTGCCCCTGCCTGTGCAACACCATCTGCACCCCTTCCTGGGCCCACAGGGCAGCACCAGCCAGACTCTGCCAACCTCTCGGCTCACTCAGTACCACTCGCCTCCTCTGGTGTGCCAGCCTGTTTCCTACCGCAGGGCCTTTGCACGTGCTGTTCTCTCTGCCTGGGGTACGCTTCCCCAGGAAGACACATGACTTGCTTCTTCTTGCTACTCTCATCTCGGTTCAACGTCTTCAGGGCACACCTAACCACTCGCTCTAAAGTAGCCCCCAGTAGCAATGGAAATGGTCCTGTTTATTCCTTTAGCTCACTTAGCAAATTTACTTTTTAAAAAATGCGTCCTTTGCAGCACTCACTACAATGTCAGTTCTACTAGGACAAGGATTTGGGCCATTTTTGTCCCCAGCACATAACTATCCTGTGCTCAATAAATATTCTGTGTGAACGAAGAATGTGTTGGCCACCATGGGGCCGCTGTGTGACTTCCAGCAGCTCTTTAGGCCTCCCTGGGCCTCGCGTGTTCATCTGTAAAATGGGCACAGTGCTGCCGTCAGTAGCCTCTCCAGGCTGACATGAGGAACGATGAACATGGCCCTGTAGAAATGTGACCAGAACGAATATAATTATTCCCCCAAGGGCTGGAGCAGGGCAAGGTGAGGGGTCAGGGGCTGAGCCCAACCCCACTCCCCTCCTTTCTCTTCTCCTCTGTCCACAGAGAGTATCTTTGGCTCCAGCCCGAGCACCCAGAGGGTCCGCGGAAGGAGGCCACTGTCATCCAAGCGAGGGTCCACGGCCACCAGCTTCCCCGTGCTGGAGGAGGCGGACGCGGAGGAGAAGGAGGCGTTTCTCGCCTTCATGGAGCAGCTGGGGGGTGACCCCTCACTTCCTGAGTAAGGCCAGCACAGTGTGTGTGTGTGTGAGTGTGGGGAGCAGTGTGTGTGTGGGGGGGGCGGGGGTGGGGGGACAGGACGGGCGCTGCCAGTCCGCGTAGGCGAGGCCGCGCCTGGACACAGTGTGAAAGTGGGAGAGAGCTGGGTGCAAATTCTGGTCTGGCCACTTGTTAGCTGTGTGACTCGGGGCAAGCGGCCTAACCTCTGACCTGCTTTCCCGGGCTGCTGAGTGAGGTAGAGCTTTGGGGAGAAGATAAGCTCTGGCCCCGCCCCTGCCTGTCCCGCCCTAGAATCTCTCCCCCGGAGGGTCCGGAGGGTTACTGAGCTGGGGCAGCCTCCCAAGGGTCCTCCCATGCTGAGGGTGGCTTTCTTAACCCAAAAAGAGGGTCCCCACTTGAGCCGTGTGAGGACGGTGATGCCCTGGGTTGGGAGATTTGGAGACAGGGCGTTCCCTCCTAACTGGCTCTGGTTCGGGGCTCTTGGGGTTTACTCGCTCAAAGAAGGGGGGCCCTGCCTAAAAATGCCCCTCCCACGCCCCCATCTGCCACGGGGGCATCAGAGCCAGCAAGGGGGTCGCCTGCCCCAAGGGCTGTGGGAGCGGCTCTCAGAGGGCAGGCCCAGGGTTGTGGGGCAGGCAGGGTGGGACATAGGGTACAGGCTGCAGGGCCAGGCGTGGTGGGAGCCATTCACCTCTTTGGCAGCTTGGCCTGCTCTCAGCTCTCTGGCATCTGTCTTCACATATAGCAAGTGCCAACCATGTGCCAGGCCCAAGTGGGTGCTTTCACTGGGCGTGTCTCACTCTCTGGAGAACTTGCTGGGCAGGTATCAGCCTCCCTATTTTACAAACAAGCCCAGAGAGGGCATGGTACTGGCCAAAGACCACACAGCTAGGGAGTGGGGGAAGAGAGAGGGCAGCTGAGGCCCTGGGCCGTCAGGCTCCCAAGTCCCCCTCCCCACACTTAATCACCAAACCACAGAGAACCAAGGTACTGTGGGGGTTCAAGAAGGGAGAGGGCAGCCCTAACCAGTTTGGCTCAGTGGCTAGAGCATCAACCCGCAGACTGAAGGGTACTGAGTTCGATTCCGGTCAAGGGCATGTACCTCAGTGGCAGGCTTGAGCCTAGACCAGCCGTGGGCAAACTACGGCCCGCGGGCCGGATCCGGCCAGTTTGAAATGAATAAAACTATTTAAAAAAAAGACCGTACCCTTTTATGTAATGATGTTTACTTTGAATTTATATTAGTTCACACAAACACTCCACCCATGCTTTTGTTCCGGCCCTCCGGTCCAGTTTAAGAACCCATTGTGGTCCTCGAGTCAAAAAGTTTGCCCACCCCTGTGACCTAGACCCAGGTTGGGGTGTGTGTGGGAGGCAACCCATCAACGTGTCTCTCTCACACTGATGTTTCTCTCGCTGTCTCTCCCTCTCCTTTTCCCTCCCTTCCACTCTGTCTAAAAACCAACGGAAAAATATCCCTGGGGGAGGATTCAAAAAAAGAAGGGCCTCTCCCTGGGCACACCTGGGAGAGACTCCTGGGGGGCGGGGCATTTGGCTGCACCTACAGAGGTCAATAGGTTTTTGTAGCCCAGGCGCCCAGTCTCTAGGAGTGTTGCCATTCACATGGAGAACGGGGCCCCCTCTGCTTCCTGGGCCCCCTCAGGTCTAATCTCTGGCCCCCCTCTCCCCAGGCAGGAGATCTGGCAGCTGTGGGGGAAGCTGAGGCAGGAGGAGCCCCAGCTGGCGGGCAACCTGGAGGGCTTCCTGGCGCAGATGACCAGCCGCCTGCAGGAGGCACGGGCCGAAAAGGAGGCTCTGGAGCTGACCCTGAGGAAGTGAGTGGGTGGGGCTCCGCCCACTGGGTGTCTGCCTGTCGTGGGAGCTCTGCATGTAGCGGCTGAATGTTAATGGGAGTCCCTCGGCTGCAGAAGGATGGAGGCCAAGGCCACGCAGGGCCTGGAAGCTGGGATGGGCGGAGCGAAGCTGGAGGAAGGGCTGGCTTTGGGGGTGTGGGGAGGACAGAGTTTGGCTTTTGCCCAGAGTGGAATGCCAAGTGTGTGTTGGTGCAGGGCCACTGTGGCAGCCAGCTCCAGGAGCACCACTCATGTAGATGGCAATGCATGCAGCAGCCCTGGGGTTGGCATGGGCACAGCTCTGCAGGGGGTCTGAGCTCTGGAGGCAGGGGGATGGTGACAGAGGGATGTGGGGACAGGGTGTGAAGTGATGGGGACCGTGTGACAGGGCCATGTGGCGATGGCTACAGGAGTCAGGTGATGGGATCAGCGTGACCAACATCAGGGGTGCGTGGGTCAGGGGCTGCTATTAGGATGACTGTTTCCAGGGTAATGAGGGTCGGGGATGCCTGACCAAGCGAGCTGAGCAGTAGATGGGCTCCAAACCAGGTCCGGGCTGCCTCTGGCGGCAGCAGGGCCCAGGGTCACTGAAGCGCTGCCCGTCCCACTTCCCACCCCTTCCAGGCGGGACTCTGACCACCAACGCGAGGTGCAGCAGCTGTACGAGGAGATGGAGCAGCAGATCGGCCGGCAGAAGCAGCAGCTGCAGGCCAAGGTGGGCTCCGGCAGCCTGCCCTCCCCTGCCCTGGACCTCACTGCTGGCCCGGACGTGGGGCCGGTGCCTGGCCAGTGTGGGGTAGCAGGAGGTGGCTGGGAGTGGGTCCTCTCACACCCCTGACCAGGAGATGGGGTGAGGGGTGCCGAGCCCCTCCCCCTCTCTGCGGGTCTCGCTCTGTCTCTTGGGGCCAGTCCCGCTCTCTGGGCCTCGGTGTCCTTGTTGCCACAATCCAGGCCTGAGCCAGGGCAGTTGTCCTGAGGCCCCTTCTGCTGGGACCCTGCACCCCAGGCCCAGGGGGAGGGGGAGCCTGGCTGGGTCTTAGACGCAGCCGCCCAGGGCCTGAGGCCTCTCTCTCCTCAGAGCGACTCCCGGGACCTGGCCCTCAGCTCCCAGATGCAGGAGGTCCTGGAGGCCAAGGAGCGTGAGGTGCAGCAGCTGGCCGAGGGCCAGAGGGAGGTGAGTGCGGGCGCCCGGGGCCCAGTCCGTGAGGACTCAGTCTCTGGTACCCCCGCCTGAGGATGCAGGAGGGTGGCCCCGGGAAAGGCGTGGTGGCCCTTTCTGGGGGGAGCCAGGTAGGGCAGCGGGAGCGCGGGGACAGGAGCCAGAAGGGGTGGTTCAAATCCTTGTGGTTCCGGTGCAAACCTGAGGAAATACCTTGGCTAGCCCGGCCTCAGTTTCTCCGCCTGCGCAATGGGACCGGCCACATCTATTGCACCTCCCGGCTGGTGTGTAATACGAGGCGATAAGTGGAAAGCGCTGTGGAGCAGGGAAGCGCAGGGCAAACCCAGGCCTCGCTGCTGGGAGGCTGGGCCGGAGGTGGTGTCCAGTGCTCATCTCCGTGGGCAGCTGAGCGGCCTTGGCAGGTTTCTAACTTCCTCCCCGAGAAGTGGGGTTCAGAACTCTTGCCTTAGAAACCGGGCGAGGTGCCCGGTGCTTTACCCATCATGGCTGTTCCTGCCTCTGAATCTGACTGGCTCCCGGGCAGAGGATCTGCTGCCCTGACACCAGGTCTGGTAGCTGATGGTCACTTCCTGGTTGCCTGTGGCTGAGCCTTTGGCCTGAGACCCTGCCCCACAGTCTCGTCCTTTAACTTCTAAACCACCGACTGCAGTAACTCACATCTGTGCTGTCCGACACCAGCATCCCTTCGGCTGCTCTCCCAGCGCTGCTGTGGCTGGTGCCCAGGGGCCCCTGAGGCAGCAGGCCCCTCCTGCCGAGGGAGAAGGTCGGACTTCCACGTGGGGCCATGGTGTGTCCTGTCCCCCCGAAGCTCTGCCCCAGGCCTTTCATCCCTTCACCCAGCAGCTAGTTAGGACGCACCTACTATGTGCCGGGTAGGCCAAGGTTCTGAGGGACATGACAGACACAGCCTCTGCCCACGGAGTTATTGTCTGGTCAGGGAGACGGAGGGTAAAACAAGCGAGGAAAACCTGTAACATATCAGATAACAAAGTGCGGAGGAGGATAAAGGGAAGCCGGGCCAGGGACAGAGGGTTTTGATTGATGAAGACATTGGAGTAAAGGCCTGGAGAAGGTGAGGGGTGGCCATGCGAGGAGCGGGGAAGAGCAGCCAGGAGGGAACCGTGAGTGCAAAGGCCCAGGCGCTGTGAGTGTTCAAGGAACAGCAAGGAGACCTGTGGATGGAGCAGGGGGGAGCGTGGCAGTGGGAGAGGAGGTCAGAGATGTAACGGGGTGGGGGTACTATGCAGGGCCCTGGGCCATTGGAGGGCTTTGCCTCCCGCTGCGTGGGCAGCAGCTCTCCGTCTCCCAGTCGTGGGACTTGCTGCGGGACCAGGAGCTCCCCGCAGACAGATGGAGGGTGTGGCCTCACAGGCCGGCCTCCTGGCGATGGCCGTCTGTGTTTCTGCAGTTCCCTGTGGCCTCTCCACCAGCAACTCAAACCTCCCTCCCGCTGGGAGGTCATGAAGTCAGTTAGGAAGGAGGTGCACTCCTCTAGCCCTGCTTTAAGCTGGGCCTTGGGGACCTGGAGCCTGTGCCCCACAATGGCCTGGGGGGCTGTCGGTTGTCCTGGAGGGCAGCTGGCTTCTGTCCCCTCACCACCGCACCCCTGTCCCTTTCTGTAGCTGGAGGCTGAGCTCCAGCGCCTCAGCAGCGCACACCGGGAGGCCGGCTCCGAAAAGCTGCAGCTTCGGGAGGCCCAGCGGGACCTGGCTGGGCGGCTGGAGCAGGTGCAGGAGCAGCTGCAGATGACCCAGGGGCACCTGAACTTCGCCAGGAGCCGCGTGTCCTGGCAGGTGGAGGAGGAGCCGAGGCAGGTGGCTGCCGCCAGGGCTGGGGTGGGGACCAGGGCTTCCTGGAGGAGCGAGGGGCTGTGCTCCGGCTGTCAGCTCAGCACACACGGCCCCTCATAGACCCCACGACACTGTCAGGCCCATTCCCCAGACAAGGAAACTGAAGGGCAGAGCGAGAGTCATGTGCCCAACACCACATCTGGGATTTGGACACACACACTCACACACACACTCTCATACTCACTCACATACACACACACGCACACTCACACACTCACACACTCACACACACACTCACGCCCACGCACATTCTCACACACACACTAACACACTGACACATATTCACACACTCACACACACTCACACACACACTCACACACGCACACACACACGCACACGCACATTCACACACATACTAACACACTGACATATTCACACACTCACACACACATGCACACACACATACACACACCCTAACACATTCACACACACTCATGCACACACACACACTCACTCACTCACACACTGACACATATTCACACACACACATGCACACACACGCACATTCACACTCACTCATATACACACTCACATATGCACTCATACACTCGTACACACACACCCTAAAACATTCACACACACTCATACACACACTGACACATATTCACATACACACACACGCACACACACACACACACACACACGCACGCACATTCACACTCACTCACAGGTCTTGTGTGCAGCTGAGGTACCAGCTGTGTGAGGGCTGCAGGCGGGACTGGTGTGCGTCTGCCTGCCTCCCTGACGGGAGCTCCCACCCCTTTCCAGTGTCCCCAGAGCAGGTGAGGACCAGGCTCCCGGCCCTCAGGCAGTCTCCTCTGAGGAGGCGCCCCTGCCGGGACTGTTTGAGGACAATGACGACTGGGACCGGCTCCTGAGCAGCTTCAACAGCCCCTGGCACAGAACCCCACAGCTACTGTGGAGCCCGCCCGCGACCCCCACAGCCCCCTCAGCCCCCCAGACACCCCGAGTGGTCAGGCAGATCTCCATCTCAGAGCAGCACGATCTGCTGTTTGATCGGGAGCCATCTTCAGATGCCAATGGGGCCCCAGGGAGCCCCCCCGGGGTGACTGCCAGGCCCGAGGAAGGGAGAGCAGTGGACCCCGGTGGGCAGGACCTCAGGGCAGAGCGGCCCGCGGAGCGTCGCAGCGAGCACCCTCAGGAAGGGCCCGGGCCTGGCCCAGAGACCCACTTCTTTGGGGAGTCATTTCTCCCCGCGGCTCCAGCTGGGGAGTCAGGGGGCCTGGTGGCAGCTGCACTCGAAGTGCTTGTTCCTCTGGGGACTGGCTCCCCTCCCCAGGGGACTTCTCCCCCTGCTCAGTTCCCAGCTGGGCCCAGCACACACTTCCAGACCTCAGCCCCAGATGATAGGCACTCCTGGACGGGGCCTGTCCCAGCCAAGCCACCCAGGCAGAGGGAGGCCCTCCACCAGGGCCCTCGTACTGCGGGCTACACGCCGGGACTGGAGCCCAGAGGAGCCAGAGTCCTCCCAGCAGGAGTGGCTGAGCCCTCGCAAAGTCTGGAGGCTGTGGGTCAGGCTCTCCTGGGTGAGTCCTCAGAGGGTCTGGAGGGTGTGGCTGAGGCTCCCCTGGCTGAGCTCTCAGAGGGTCTGGAGGGTGGAGCTGAGGCTCCCCTGGCTGAGCCCTCAGAGGGTCTGGAGGGTGTAGCTGAGGCTCCCCTGGCTGAGCTCTCAGAGGGTCTGGAGGGTGGAGCTGAGGCTCCCCTGGCTGAGCCCTCAGAGGGTCTGGAGGGTGGAGCTGAGGCTCCCCTGGCTGAGCTCTCAGAGGGTCTGGAGGGTGGAGCTGAGGCTCCCCTGGCTGAGCTCTCAGAGGGTCTGGAGGGTGGAGCTGAGGCTCCCCTGGCTGAGCTCTCAGAGGGTCTGGAGGGTGGAGCTGAGGCTCCCCTGGCTGAGCTCTCAGAGGGTCTGGAGGGTGGAGCTGAGGCTCCCCTGGCTGAGCTCTCAGAGGGTCTGGAGGGTGGAGCTGAGGCTCCCCTGGCTGAGCTCTCAGAGGGTCTGGAGGGTGGAGCTGAGGCTCCCCTGGCTGAGCTCTCAGAGGGTCTGGAGGGTGGAGCTGAGGCTCCCCTGGCTGAGCTCTCAGAGGGTCTGGAGGGTGGAGCTGAGGCTCCCCTGGCTGAGCTCTCAGAGGGTCTGGAGGGTGGAGCTGAGGCTCCCCTGGCTGAGCTCTCAGAGGGTCTGGAGGGTGGAGCTGAGGCTCCCCTGGCTGAGCTCTCAGAGGGTCTGGAGGGTGGAGCTGAGGCTCCCCTGGCTGAGCTCTCAGAGGGTCTGGAGGGTGGAGCTGAGGCTCCCCTGGCTGAGCTCTCAGAGGGTCTGGAGGGTGGAGCTGAGGCTCCCCTGGCTGAGCTCTCAGAGGGTCTGGAGGGTGGAGCTGAGGCTCCCCTGGCTGAGCTCTCAGAGGGTCTGGAGGGTGGAGCTGAGGCTCCCCTGGCTGAGCTCTCAGAGGGTCTGGAGGGTGGAGCTGAGGCTCCCCTGGCTGAGCTCTCAGAGGGTCTGGAGGGTGGAGCTGAGGCTCCCCTGGCTGAGCTCTCAGAGGGTCTGGAGGGTGGAGCTGAGGCTCCCCTGGCTGAGCTCTCAGAGGGTCTGGAGGGTGGAGCTGAGGCTCCCCTGGCTGAGCTCTCAGAGGGTCTGGAGGGTGGAGCTGAGGCTCCCCTGGCTGAGCTCTCAGAGGGTCTGGAGGGTGGAGCTGAGGCTCCCCTGGCTGAGCTCTCAGAGGGTCTGGAGGGTGGAGCTGAGGCTCCCCTGGCTGAGCTCTCAGAGGGTCTGGAGGGTGGAGCTGAGGCTCCCCTGGCTGAGCTCTCAGAGGGTCTGGAGGGTGGAGCTGAGGCTCCCCTGGCTGAGCTCTCAGAGGGTCTGGAGGGTGGAGCTGAGGCTCCCCTGGCTGAGCTCTCAGAGGGTCTGGAGGGTGGAGCTGAGGCTCCCCTGGCTGAGCTCTCAGAGGGTCTGGAGGGTGGAGCTGAGGCTCCCCTGGCTGAGCTCTCAGAGGGTCTGGAGGGTGGAGCTGAGGCTCCCCTGGCTGAGCTCTCAGAGGGTCTGGAGGGTGGAGCTGAGGCTCCCCTGGCTGAGCTCTCAGAGGGTCTGGAGGGTGGAGCTGAGGCTCCCCTGGCTGAGCTCTCAGAGGGTCTGGAGGGTGGAGCTGAGGCTCCCCTGGCTGAGCTCTCAGAGGGTCTGGAGGGTGGAGCTGAGGCTCCCCTGGCTGAGCTCTCAGAGGGTCTGGAGGGTGGAGCTGAGGCTCCCCTGGCTGAGCTCTCAGAGGGTCTGGAGGGTGGAGCTGAGGCTCCCCTGGCTGAGCTCTCAGAGGGTCTGGAGGGTGGAGCTGAGGCTCCCCTGGCTGAGCTCTCAGAGGGTCTGGAGGGTGGAGCTGAGGCTCCCCTGGCTGAGCTCTCAGAGGGTCTGGAGGGTGGAGCTGAGGCTCCCCTGGCTGAGCTCTCAGAGGGTCTGGAGGGTGGAGCTGAGGCTCCCCTGGCTGAGCTCTCAGAGGGTCTGGAGGGTGGAGCTGAGGCTCCCCTGGCTGAGCTCTCAGAGGGTCTGGAGGGTGGAGCTGAGGCTCCCCTGGCTGAGCTCTCAGAGGGTCTGGAGGGTGGAGCTGAGGCTCCCCTGGCTGAGCTCTCAGAGGGTCTGGAGGGTGGAGCTGAGGCTCCCCTGGCTGAGCTCTCAGAGGGTCTGGAGGGTGGAGCTGAGGCTCCCCTGGCTGAGCTCTCAGAGGGTCTGGAGGGTGGAGCTGAGGCTCCCCTGGCTGAGCTCTCAGAGGGTCTGGAGGGTGGAGCTGAGGCTCCCCTGGCTGAGCTCTCAGAGGGTCTGGAGGGTGGAGCTGAGGCTCCCCTGGCTGAGCTCTCAGAGGGTCTGGAGGGTGGAGCTGAGGCTCCCCTGGCTGAGCTCTCAGAGGGTCTGGAGGGTGGAGCTGAGGCTCCCCTGGCTGAGCTCTCAGAGGGTCTGGAGGGTGGAGCTGAGGCTCCCCTGGCTGAGCTCTCAGAGGGTCTGGAGGGTGGAGCTGAGGCTCCCCTGGCTGAGCTCTCAGAGGGTCTGGAGGGTGGAGCTGAGGCTCCCCTGGCTGAGCTCTCAGAGGGTCTGGAGGGTGGAGCTGAGGCTCCCCTGGCTGAGCTCTCAGAGGGTCTGGAGGGTGGAGCTGAGGCTCCCCTGGCTGAGCTCTCAGAGGGTCTGGAGGGTGGAGCTGAGGCTCCCCTGGCTGAGCTCTCAGAGGGTCTGGAGGGTGGAGCTGAGGCTCCCCTGGCTGAGCTCTCAGAGGGTCTGGAGGGTGGAGCTGAGGCTCCCCTGGCTGAGCTCTCAGAGGGTCTGGAGGGTGGAGCTGAGGCTCCCCTGGCTGAGCTCTCAGAGGGTCTGGAGGGTGGAGCTGAGGCTCCCCTGGCTGAGCTCTCAGAGGGTCTGGAGGGTGGAGCTGAGGCTCCCCTGGCTGAGCTCTCAGAGGGTCTGGAGGGTGGAGCTGAGGCTCCCCTGGCTGAGCTCTCAGAGGGTCTGGAGGGTGGAGCTGAGGCTCCCCTGGCTGAGCTCTCAGAGGGTCTGGAGGGTGGAGCTGAGGCTCCCCTGGCTGAGCTCTCAGAGGGTCTGGAGGGTGTGGCTGAGGCTCCCCTGGCTCAGCCCTCAGATGGTCTGGATGGTGTGACTCAGTCCCCCATAAAGGGCGTGGTACAGCAGGGTGAGCTGGGCCCAGATGTGCTGCAGGGCCGTCCCGGGGGGCTAAGGGAAGCTCGGAGCCAGGTCCAGCTAAGCAGGCTGCCTGCCCTCTCTCAGCAAAGTCAGGAGGAGGAACCCAGGGAGGAGGAGGGGAAATGGGGGGGCCAGGGCAGGCCAGGCCTCAGTTCAGAGCAGCCCTCTGAGTCTCGGGGCCTGAGGACCGGGCCCTCGGAACGCCCCCAGCGAAGTTCCCTGCCCGCCCCTCTCCCACCTGACACAGCGCAGGCTCAGGCTGAGGCAGAAGGCCCTGCTCCTGGAAGACCGTCCCCTCCAAGGGACTCTCCCCCTCGGGGGGCTCAGCCTGGGGGCGGGGCAGGGCCCCAGCCGCCCACGAACACCCTGCCCAGCACAGAGGCTGCGCTGGAAGCCCAACCCAGGCCGCCACCCACAGCTGCTCAAGCGGAGGGAGAACAAGGCCCCCCACAACCCCGTGAGCCTCGGGCAGAGAACAGGCCTGAAGACCCAGGAACAGGCTCCGGGGAGGCTGGGCTGACCCCCTCCCCAGGGGGCGCCACGGGCAGCGAGCCTCCAGCCGACCCTGATTACATCTACCACATCATCTTCCTGGGAGACTCGAACGTGGGCAAAACATCCTTCTTGCACCTGCTGCACCAGGACACCTTCGCCTCTGGGCTGACAGCCACTGTGGGTAAGCGCCTATCCTGGCGGGGTGAGGGTAGGGGGGTGAGGGGTCGGGGAGATGGGGAGGCCCAGGGCCCTGGCCAGCAAGCCCGAGCAGGTTGGAGTGAGCACCCCTGGGGAAACTGCAGTCTGCCCTGGCCCAGGCCCTGCTCTAGACTTTATATGGGATGCTCTTACTATTTTACTAATCATCTCTAATTACAGGTAATTTGCTTTTCCTGCATTGATCTGATTAGCTTATAATGTGCCACATCAACAAAGCACCCTGCAATTTAGGTGCCAGTGCTGGCTGATGGTGAAAACAAGCCAGTCCCACCCACATGGCTGCGGGGGAAGGCGGCAGGGTGGCACAGGCTGGATGTAGTCAGGACTAGCCCCTGCCAGCCAGCCCAGCTCTGGGGGGAAGGTGCCTTGGGCAAGTTGAATGTTTTATATAGAATGTGTTTGTGGGGGTGAGACGCTAGGAAGCGGGGCGCCTGAGTTCATATCTCGTCCTGCCACTTACTAGCCATATGAACGTGGACAAATGATTTAAGCCCCTTGAGGCCCCAAACCCTCACCTGCACAATGGGGACAGCAGGAGTGCTGGCTTGCTAGCGTGGTTGTAAGGATTAGCTCATTAGTACGCATCACGCTGTTAGAATAATACCTGGCACATTGTGCTAATCAATATTATTGTTATTGTTATTATTACAAGTGTTAGATGATGTCTCATTCAGTGGCTCCTGCCCATGAAATGTCCCCAAGCACAAAGCTTCCTCTCCCTAGAACAGCGGTTCTCAACCTGTGGGTCGCGATCCCTTTGGCGGTCGAACGCCCCTTTCACAGGGGTCGCCTAAGACCATCCTGCATATCAGATATTTACATGACGATTCATAACAGTAGCAACATGACAGTTATGAAGTAGCAACGAAAATAATTTTATGGTTGGGTCACAACATGAGGAACTGTATTGAAAGGGCCAGAGGTTGAGAACCACTGCCCTAGGACCGGGATGTGTGGCACTGGGTGTTGTGTCGGCCCACGGAAGGCCAGCGTTATGACCACTCGGGATGAAGAGGGAGTGAGCCGATCTTTGTCTGTCAGGGGGCACGTGACTGGGACCGTGTGGGTAATGACAGCCCACATCCAAGAGAGGCCCCAGGACAAGGCCTCAGGCTTTTCTCTGCTTAAGGATCCTCACCTGGGAGCCAGTGAACGCTGCAGCGTCCTGGGGAATGGGGGACCCACGGCAGGTCTGGCCTGGGGTTGAGCAGGGTCGCAGGCCTGCAGGGCCACCCTTAGTAACCTAAGCCAAGGGCACCTCCAATGCACCAGGCATCTTACAACAGCCGCCTCCCCCGTAATAACCGATTCTCCCCTCATCATGTAGTAAGAGGTTTCCAGAAAATTCCATCAAGAAAACACAGATTGATGCCTTAGCCGGTTTGACTCAGGGATAGAGCGTCAGCCCACGGACTGAAGGGTCCTGTTTGATTCTGGTCAAGGGCACGTACCTCGGTTGTAGCCTTGATCCCCAACCCTGGTCAGGGTGCATGCGGGAGGCGGCTAATCGATGTGTCTCTCTCACATTGATGTTTCTCTCTCTCTCTCTCTGTCTCTCCCCTTCCCTTCCACTCTCTCTAAAAATCAATGGAAAAAATATCAGGTGAGGATTAACCAAAAAATAAATAAAAAGAAGCCCTCTCCATCATCCCCACCCCCCACCTGCTTTCCTTTGGGAAGTAGGGGTTGGCAGGAAGTTGTACCCCAAAGACTCCAAACTTCCCCGAGATTTCACTTACCTCCATATTTCCAGAAAGGGTCTGGAGCCATGACCTCAGGCAGGCAGGGGTGAGGCTGTAAAATCCAATGGGCCAGGGTTCAGAGAGATGAGAATGAATAATGATAACAATTACCACCTCTCAGGCACCGCCCCCTCCCAGAATCTGGGCTAAACCTTGGACATAGTCATTGGCTCCTCCCAGCCGCCCTGTGCGGTGCGATGAGGCGGGAGGCTCAGAGAGGCGGAGTGACTTGCTTCAGGTCACACAGCAGCTACAGCGGCAGAGGGTGGACAACTCACAGCCCATTCGTCACCTCTGAAGTCCGCGCTCCGCCCGCGCCCCTGGCTGTCTGGTCGAAGGGAGGATGCAGGCCGTAGCTGGGATATGAAACGAGAATTATAAAATAAAACAATGAACAGGTTTTCCTGGGCGGACTAAGGAACACACATCGCTGTGTTCGCAGAGGTCAAAACAACGCAAGGTTCCCTCGTTGGGCACGGAGAGCAGCGGGGGCAGTGAGCCCGTGGCTGGGCTCAGGCAGGCAGGGGTGGGGGAAGGCTTCTTGGGAGACCTGGGCCCTTGAGTGTGGATGGGATTTGGGGAGCAGAGGGAAGGCCAGCAGCCGCAGGTTCCCGTCCCCTGGGGCCGGGGTTGGGCTCTTGGGCCGGCCTTGGCTAGACGTGCTGGGTGGTGACTGGAGAGTAGGCCTAACCCTCTCTGTGCCCTAGGAGTGGATTTTCGGGTCAAAAACCTGCTGGTGGACAACAAGTACTATGCGCTGCAGCTCTGGGACACCGCTGGCCAGGAGAGGTAGGGCCCTGTCTCCACGGAGACCTGTGCGGACCTGGGTGCCGGGTGGAGGCAGCCCCGCCCAGAGGAGGCCAAGGTGGGCAAAAGGCCGCCCAGTGCAAAAGAGACATCACCCCCGGGGGAGTCAGGAAGCCGGGGAGGAGAGCAAAGGCCCAGTGGAGAAGACGGGGTGGCCCAGAGGCCCCTGGGCCTGGCCAGGCTTCTGTGAGGATCACCCCAGCTCGGCCCTCAGGGCCAGCGCCCGACCGCTGTCCTGCAAACACTGGCCGCCCACTTGCCGGTTGGGCCACAGTGATCAGACTTTAAAGCACTTCTCTCTGCCCAGCGGTTTCACGTCTGGAAACTCATGCTTCCGGTAACTCACATGATGATATCAAAGGGACCGAGGCTGTTCACAGCAGCGTTTATATTGCAAAGCACTGGACTCATCCCCAACGCCATGGTTGGTGGCCAGCGAGACAGGCTGGGGTCTATCCACACGATAGAATATTATGAAGCCACAGAAAGACCCAGGGCCCTCACTATGGCCAAAAGGGAAACACCTCCAAGCCTCCTCTTGACTAGAAAAACCAGGCAGGGGTTCCAAATATGAATGAGTACAGTATGTGAGTGTTTTACACTGTACCGTGTTAACAAGGGCAAAGGGCAGGTGTGTGTGCGTGTGCACAGGTATGTGTATGCATGTTCAGTTATGAATATGCATAAAGTGCCTCTGGGAAAATATTTAAGAAGCTGGTGACCCTGGCTGCCTCTGAGGAGGGGGACCGGGTGGCTGCAGAATGGGGGTGGGAGACCTCTCACGGGGTGCCCTTTGGTACCTCTTGAATTTGAGCCATGAGAACTGTTACCTATTCACAATAACCATATGTGAGAAGGCCAGCATGTGCACACTCTCGTGGGAAGCAATGAGGAGCAGGAACGTTAATTCTCCCTCGTTGCCGACGGAGTGGCTGAGGCCTAGAGAGGCCGGGCCGGGGTCAGCCCAGCAGGCCTGGCCTCATGCAGACTCCCCGGCAGGTACCACAGCATGACGCGGCAGCTGCTCCGGAAGGCTGACGGTGTGGTGCTCATGTATGACGTCACATCCCAGGAGAGCTTTGCCCACGTGCGCTACTGGCTGGACTGTCTCCAGGTGAGCAGGTGGTGGCGGGGCTGGCCCCAGTTTCTGGAGTCAAGAGGGAACATGTATCCTGCCCACTCTCCCTTTCTCCCGGGATTACAGATGCTACAATAGACATGCAGGTGATGCAGCCCACGGAGGGCATGTGACTGGGTGGCCTAGGAGTCGTATCAGGGAGCCACAACCACACAGTACAGCTTCCAAAACAAACTTCTTCCTCTGTCCTACGAACATTTCTTTCTTACAGACAGCAGCTCTGCGGGGTCTCCTTAACCCCTGGGGATGATGCAATTCTCGTACCACTTTAGGTGGTACTTCCTCTGTCCACACATCTCTAGTTCTCTCCCCATGTACTTAATTCATACATATATGCGGAAATTTTGCAGCATGTGCCAGCACAACTGAGGGATATGAAGGAAGACATGTAGCCTTCTTTCTAGGAGTTTCTAGTTGAAGAGATGCAAAAGAAGTAAGATAAGGTCAGATACAAAGGCAGCTGGGCCCTGGGGTCAGACCGGACCCAACGATCCCACCCCAACTCAGCGACAGCCTCTCTGAACTTCACTTTCCCGGCTTCTCTCGTAGGCTTGTGAGGGTTAACTGACATCATCGCGTTCAGCACAGCACCTGGCAGATAGTAAGCCCTCCGTAAATAAAAGCTGTTACTATTATTACCCATGAAACAATTAGGAAAAGAACCAAGACACCCTGTGTCGGCAAGCACTGGGCTGTTGAGCACAGGCAGGAAGAGAGGGGCATGGGTAGGATCAATCCATGAAGGCTGCCTGGGGGAGGGAGCTTTGAGGTTGGCCCTGGAAAATGGGTGACATGTTTGCAGGCAGATAGGAGGGGCAGCCTTGCTGCAGATGGAGGGGAGGTTGGGGAGTGAGGGTGACAGGGAAAGGTAGGTGTCTGTGCCGGAAGGAGGCATGCTGCCAGCTTCCCGGAGGTCAGGGCCACGTCCACCCAGGGCCTGGCACACAGCAGGCGCTCCACATGTGTGTCTGAGGGAATGTGCTCTGTGTGCAGGACGCGGGGGGTGTTGGAGTGGTCATTCTTCTCCTGGGAAACAAGATGGACTGTGACGAGGAGCGGCAGGTGTCCACCGAGGCTGGGCAGCAACTGGCCCAGGTGAGCACCTGGGTGTCGGTCTCTCCCCAGCCTGGACCGGGCAGACCCCTCCCTGAAGGATGGTGAGTAGGTCACCCTGGCCTGGGCATCCAAGAAGGCCCCATTGCCCGGCTGGCGTGGCTCAGTGGTGGATCATCGACCTATGAACCAGGAGGTCACGGTTTGCCTCCCGGTCAAGGCACATGCTGGGGTTGCAGGCTTGATCCCCAGTGTGGAGCGTGCAGGAGGCAGCCAGTCAATGATTCTCTCTCATCATTGATGTCTCTCTCTCTCTCTCTCTCTCCCTTCCTCTCTGAAATCAATAAAAAATAATATTTATTTTAGAGAGAAGGACCCATTGATCATTCCAAAGGCCAGGTCAGAGTGGACAGCAGCCTGGCCACCTCTGCCTCCCACCCAGCCCAGCCTTAGACCCAATCGCTAATAACGGTGGGCACGGCATGGAACCTCACTGCTGAATTAGCAGACCCACACCCAATGCCCCGACCTACGTAAAAAATAGCTTCAGAGTAAAAAAGGTTTTAAAAGCTTCACTTAAAATTCCCGATCGAATCTTAATTTTATCTCTGGTCTCTAATTAACGTAACGTTCCTTCTAATTTATTCTATTTTAAGACTCAAATTCTTCCCCAGGAAGATTAACATCAAAAGCCCCACCACCAGACAGTGGTTACTATTTATTTATGAATAGAAGTTGACTAGGTTCCAGAAAATCTGGAGAATAATAACGAAAACATAAAAAAAATAAAAAGAAGCCACTCCTTGCCCCACCTCTGCCCCACCCCTGCCAGCATTCTCACACTGCGTCTCCCTGCTGCCTCTCCTCTGGTCTCATCCCTCCTGCTCCTGAGCTCATCGCTGTGGCGCCTGCGGGTGGGAATGTTTTTCTCTGAACTAAAAGTAGTAGCTCATCTCTCTGACACAGTAATTCCTCCTCTAGCAATTTCCCCTAAAAGAAGCAGAAATAACAGCCCCTAGAGAAGAATGAGATGGCCCCCCATGTGCAATGTGTAATCAGACATGCTTACAGGAGGATGGTCTTCACAGTGGTATTTACAAGGAAAAGCACCGGGCAGCAGCTGGTAGTTAAGCCGTGGCGTTCCTGTGAGAGGCTAGCATTTGCTGTCAGGAGCCCTGCCCCGGGGACAATAGTGAAGCGTGTGGAAGAAGTGCTTCCACCATAATGTGACGTCAGAACAGCAGCTGCAAATCTGGGTGCAGGTTGGGTCGACCCCTATGAGATTGCTGATATCTGACTGTTTGGAGCCTACAAGACAGCAGTTTCGTTGGCTTAATCTAATGGTATAATGACACTTAGCCCCCGCCCCCCTATAAAAGGGTTATATAAAACAGAATGGAAATATACACTGAGTGGCCAGATTATTATGACCCCCCCATCAGTGCTTCGTTGGGCCACCTTTTGCCTTCAGTACTGCGGCGATTCTTCTTGGCACTGACTCCACGAGATGTTAATGGTGATGCGAGGAATCTGACACCATGCCTGATGAATAGCACTGTCCAGTTCTGTGAGATTTGAGGTTGTGGAACCAGCTGCCTGATGGCTTTTAACTTTGTCCCACAAATGCTCAATTGGATTGAGATCTGGTGATTGTGGGGGCCACCTAAGCAAGGTAAAGTCTCCCTCATGTTCTTGAAACCACTCCTGCACCATACGAGTACTGTGGCATGGCGCATTGTCTTGTATGAAGAAGCCATCTCCGTTGGGATATGCCATCAACATGATAGGATGAACTTGATCAGCAACGATACTTAGGTATGCTGTGCTATTCAGACGTTTATAATTATCTGGCCATCTAGCAACTTCAGTGCGAAATTATAGCTAATTTGCCTACACACGTCAGGTGGTCATAAAAATCTGGCCACTCAGTGTATATGCCAACAGGAGTGGTTTATATTTTGTACTTTTTTATGCTGCCTTTTCTAATATTCCCCCCAATTAAATATTATTGAAATAAACAACATAACTAACAGTTTAAAAACATCACGGACATTTCTCCAAGTCAGGACACAGGCGGTAGGCTGTTTCCAGGGTGTCACTGACGCCTGCCCAGCCAGGGGGGAGGGGCAGCAGGCAGAGGGGCGAGGCTGGGGACCTTGGAGACACGGAGATGGGGCTGCCCTGCCCTCTGTGGTTGGCCTAGGGACCTACTGAGCGGGACTGTTGGGGGTGGGCTGCCTCCTGGACTCCAGTGGTCTCTGCAAGGGCACCCACACTGTCTGGCCTGCAGGAGCTGGGGGTCGCCTTTGGAGAATGCAGCGCGGCCCTGGGTCACAACATCCTGGAGCCCATGGTGAACCTGGCCAGGTAAGTGCCCCCGATTCCCACCCTGAACCCTGGGCAGCCCTCAGCCAGCGTGGGCGGGAAGCACCTCGGAAACCACAGGGCTCCCCAGTGTGGAGAGAGCGCTGCGTGCAGAGCTGCCAGCTCTACCAGCCCACTCGCTGCTTCACCTCCCAGAGCCACATCTGGTCTCTGAGCCTCAGTTTACTCATTGGCAGTGTTCCCAACCTTCTAGTGACTCCCACTAGATTCAGAATACAATGCCAATGCCTCACGGCATCCTGCGTTGTCTCCAGGGCCATCTCCCTGCACACACACACACACACACACCAGCTCCCTCCGGCGGTCCTTCACAGGTCTGGTGCCATCCAAATGAACTACACATATGCACACACATGCATGTGCACACACACATAAACACACATATACACACAGAGAGACACACACAGACACACACAGACACACACACACACACACACACACACACACACGCACACACGCTTCAGCCCCTCAGGGGCCCCTCCCACACCCTCCCACCACTATGCTGGACTTAGGTCTCTGTCCTTCAAAGCCCTTGGTGACAAATTAGAATTACACATGCATTTGTCTGTTTTCTCCTTGCGCTGCCTCCTCCCGCCCCAGGCGCTAGGTCCTGGAGGCCATGGCTTCGTCTATTTGTTTAGCCCCTCCCCCCACACCTGGGACCTGGCAAATACTGGGTGCTCGATAAATGATTGAGGGAGTCAGCGACAGGAGTATCAGACCAGATGACCTCTAAGCCCCTTCTCTGACAAAGTGACTACAGCGGCTTGCTAATCTGTAAACCGGGCCGCCTGATGCCCTCCGGCCAGAAACACGCATGGCTTCCCTTTGCTCTCGGATGGCAGCCCGCTGCGTCCAGGCCCACAGAACCCGGGGCCCACAGAACCCGAGCCCGGCTGCCTCCGAGGCTTCCTCTGGCCATTCCGTCCTCAGCTCTGGGATTTAGCAAAGGGCCCAGCACATAGCAAATATATATTGTGTTGTAGTTTTTAAAATATATTTTTATTGGTTTCAGAGAGGAAGGGAGAGGGAGAGAGAGACAGAAACATCAATGATGAGAGAGAATCATTGATCGGCCGTAAACATATTATGAATGAATGAATGAATGAGTGAATGAACATGAATGGGCATTTTTTGCTTTCTCAACCCCCAAGCTCTCTCTTAACATGAGCCTTTGCCCTCTCCCCGGATTCTACCCCCTTTGTCCACTGCTGCGTCTCAGCCGGACACTGCCTCCTTCCTCCCTAATCCCCCCGGACCTGCTGTGAAGTCCCTCTGGGTGCTTCGCTATCCGGGTCCTGATCCACCGGTCTCCTCCGCCTCCCTCACTACCCAAGGCCAGGACACGCTGGCGTCACTGTCACAGTCGGAGTCCCTGGCACAGAGCCCGGCACGTAGCAGGCTGGAAAGAATGCCAGAAAAGGGACGGAACTCACCGTCTCCATGGCCCCATGTTTCCAGTGCCTGTGGCATGTAGGGTAGGGGCAGAGCCGGGAGGAGAGAGGCAGCTCAGGGGCTTAGCTCCCCGGTACCCCAGCTGCACCCACGGGTCCCTCCCTGCGGCCCCGGGAGCTGAGAGAGAAGACTGATGCCTGGGGCTGGTCGTGCAGGTCGCTCAAGAGGCAAGAAGACCTCCTGAAGGGCTCACTGGTGGAGGTGGCCCTGGAGAGGCCGCCGAAGAAAGCTGGCTGCTGCTCCTGACCAGCTGGCCTGGCTGGGAGGGCCCCCCTCGGGTTCCCTGTCCCGCCTGCCTGGACAGCAGCATCGGAGGCCCAGCTCGGAAGATCCAGAGAATCCTCCCTGTTCAGGGCTCGGACCCCAGGGCCGGGGCTGCACTAGCGCTGCCCTTCGCTCCAGCTCCCGGAAGAAGGACTGTGCTGAGCAAATAACCTTGGGGTGGGCGACTCTTTAAAGAAACGAAAAGTCTAGACCAGTGGTCGGCAAACTCATTAGTCAGCAGAGCCAAATACCAACAGGACAACGATTGAAATTTCTTTTGAGAGCCAAATTTTTTAAACTTAAACTAGATAGGTAGGTACATTGTTATTGACTTAATTAGGGTACTCCTGAGGCTTAGGAAGAGCCACACTCACGGGGCCAAAGAGCCGCATGTGGCTCACGAGCCGCAGTTTGCCGCCACGGGTCTAGAGAAACAGCTTAAGGAAAATACCCCACAATATTAGCCACCCATCTCTGGTCAGTAAAATTATAGGGTGAATGTGGGGGCGGTATCTTCCTTTTATATGTGTTTGTCTTTTTGGGTCTTCTACGGTGACTGGGTGTTCCTATACAGTCAGAAATAAAAATGCATGTTGAGGGGGGGAAGAAGCTGTTGAAGGGTCTTGCTGTGGTGCTGATTCCTAGCCGGCATGGCCCGTGAACGACAAAGCCCTCTGCTCGTTAAAGCCGGCCCGTTCCTCGCCGGGCAAGGCTGTGACCTTGTCGTGCTCACGTAGCTGTTTGCAGGCTTGGCGTTTCCTCCAAGAAGAATGGATTCCTGGGAAGAGCAATGTCCTCATGGTCCCTGATAGCCGCCACCTCCCCTTTTCCCTGAGCCCCAACCCTTTCCACAAGATCTGCCCCTAAGGGCTCACATTCGGGATCCTGTCCCTGCCCCAAGGCCAGGTGCCCCCTGGTGCAGCCCTCTGCCCCGAGGCGTCAACCTCTGGATGCCCCGGAGGCACAGCTGGGGTGTGAGGGGGGCCAGGGAGCAGCTGGGGAGACTGGCTTGATTGGGTAGAGCGGCTGAGGGAGTTCCCACCGTCTCCCCACTGGCCTCCTGGCAGGGTCTTCTGTGCGGGTTGGATATCTCCTGCCATCTGCTTGCTGCCGCTGTTCTGTCTCCCCCGCCTGGTAACCATAGCAATGCTCAGGGCGCTGTGGGCAGCGGGCAGGGCACCGAGCTGGTACTTTGCGATCAGTCAGTGAATTCCTCAGCTGAATCAGAGGAAACCCCAGTTTCACAGAGAGACAAGCATAGACACTTCGAGAGACAGCGGCCCAGAGAGGAGAAAGCGGCGGCGCCTTCCTGCTGTTTAATCACCGTCCCCGCCTGCCCTGTCCCGCTGCTCCATTCTGAAAGGGAGGCCTCAGGTCAGCCACAGAGGCACAGAAGCCGAAGCCAGGTGCCACTTGGCAAGAGGTGAGGTGGAGAAATTCAGGCATCAGAAGCCGCCAAGCTTGGACCAGTTGCCCTTGAGGGACCTCTTTTGAACTCTAGCCTGTATGCAGTATGATTCTGTGGCCCAGCCTGTTCTGTCACCGGCCCTCGCTGATCCTCTCCCACCCGCAGTGTCCCACCCTCCCCCTGCCCCCCGCCTGGGTCCTCTGAGTCAGCCCACCGGCTGGCCTGCCATTCTGAGCAGTCTCTAGGCCAGTGATGGCGAACCTTTTGAGCTCGGCGTGTCAGCATTTTGAAAAACCCTAACTTAACTCTGGTGCCGTGTCACATATAGAAATTTTTTGATACTTGCAACCATAGTAAAACAAAGACTTATATTTTTGATATTTATTTTATATATTTCAATACCATTTAACAAAGAAAAATCAACCAAAAAAATGAGTTCGCGTGTCACCTGACACGCGTGTCATAGGTTTGCCATCACTGGTCTAGACTGTAGTGCTCAGAGCAAGACACACAAGATCCGGGCTGAAGTGAGGGATGCCTGGCCCTGGACAGGGGTGGGCAAGTCCTGCTCTGGCTAATGGCTCCTTCTCTGGGGTCCAGGGTGCTGGCAGGCAGCGACATCTGTCCTGAGGGCAGTGAGCTAAGGAGGCAGGCAGGGTGTGACTCCTGGGGGGCCAGGAGAGCAGACAGAGCCCCGTCCTTTGGGGGACCCAGTGCACAAGTGGCCTGGGCCTGGCCCTCCTCTCTCGGCTCTGCTCCGGCTCAGGCAGCTGCCTGGAGCTCCCTAGAGACGGTGCTGGAAGGGCCTGCACTCCTGCCCGGAACCCCCTTGGCTTCCTCTGCTGGGTCCAGCCTCTGTGCAGAGCACACTGTGGAGGCCCGGCCTCCCGGTGTCACAGGTTCCAAGTCAGCGAGCAGAGCCCGGCAGCCCCGGAGCAGCACGAGGCAGGCGGGACAGCAGCAGGAGGGACGCTGCGGGGACTGCAGAGTGGACTCTCAGACAAGCGGTGAGCTCACAGCACATGCCAACCAAGGGGGCTCAGGTCACAGCTTAGCTTGAGGCTGATTAAGAAAAGAAGGGTGGGCCCCTGCCCGTGTGGCTCAGGTGGCTGAGCATCGTCCCGTTCACCGAAGGGTTGCTGGTTCGATTCCCAGTCAGGCACATGTCTACGTTTTGGGTTCAATCCCCAGTCGGGGTGCATGTGGAAGGCAACCAATCAGTGCTTCTTTCTCACAATGTTTCTCTCTCTCTTTCTCCCCTCCCCTCTCTCTAAAACTCAATAAAAATTAATTTTAAAAAAAGAAAGAAAAGGAGGGTAGGACCAAGCAGGTTCATAGGCAGGCTCTGCAGGGGGCTCGGGGACCTGCAACCCTGGCTCTGAGCCAGCTGGAGAGGTCTCCAGGCCTGTCCTCACTGTAGGAGAAGGGGGTGAGAACTGGAATGAGTTGTCTTGTTTGTTGCTGGATCCCCAGCACCTGGCTCAGGGTTGACACTCAGAAAATATTTATTTGTTGAGTTACGGGCCAGCCTCTCCCCACTGCAGGTGGGAGGGCGTCTATCCTGCCCTGCAGGGCAGCAGGCGGCGACATCAGCCGTGGCTGACTCTGGGTCTACACCCCATCTCCCAGGCTGAGTCCCTCAATCAGGTGCCCCCCGCCCTCAGCACGTGGGTGGAGTGGGAGGAGGGAGATAACAGCTGGGATGCAGCACCCCCCACCCCAACCGCAGAGGCTCTAAGTGGCCGCCAAAGCCCAGACCAGTAAATCGTGTCTCTGGGGGTAGGATCTGTGCAGTAGTATTTTCAAAGCCTCAAGTGCCTCCAATGCGCAGGCAATTTGGAGACCGGTGGTCGGGACTCGACACCTTCTCAAAGCCCTGGGCATCTACTTTCATACTTGAACCTCAAGTTAAAATATCCCTGTTTCAAGGTCAAGGTCTTTTTGCTTAAAAAAGAAAGCATACATCTTCTCCATCTCCATCTCCATCTCCATCTCCATCTCCATCTCCATCTCCATCTCCATCTCTCCATATCCATCTCCATCTGCATCTCTCCATCTCCATCTCCATCTCCATCTCCATCTCTCCATCTCCATCTCAATCTCCACCTCTCCATCTCCATCTCCAACTCTCCATCTCCATCTCCATCTCCATCTCCACTTCTCCATCTCCATCTCCATCTCCATCTCCCTCTCTCCATATCCATCTCCATCGGCATCTCTCCATCTCCATCTCCATCTCTCCATCTCCAGCTCCATCTCTCCATCTCCATCGCCAGCTCTATCTCTATCTCTATTTCTATCTCTATCTCTCCATGTCTAGCTCTAGCTCTATCTTTCCATCTCCATCTCCATTTATATCTCTTTCTCTCTTCATCTCCATCTCTATCTCTATCCATATTTATCAGATTCCATTTGTACTCAATGAAGACATTTTAGAAATAAGAAATTAAAAAGAAAAAAAGTGAAAGTTACCTGAATCTTGCCCTTTAGTGACAGTTACTGTTGACATCGTTTTATTTTCCTTATTTCCTCACTTCGTACAGTTGAGGAAACGGAGGTAGAGAAACACGAGGTAACTTCCCAAGGTCCTGCAGCTCCCAAGGACAGAGTCGGGCTGGGACCCCGGGCGCTGGCAGAGCCGTCCCACCAGGTTGCTGTGAGGTCTAAAGGGCTAATGCATGTCAGGGCGTCCCCTGTATGCAGGGGTCTGTGGAAAGAGT